TGTTTTTTTGTAATTTGATGCAAAGGTGATATAATACAAAGAATATTGTTATAAATGTACATAATAATAATAAAAAAAAAAAATCCAAATATGAAAAACTTTCGAGGATTTACGATGCTGGTGACCGTTAAACGCGTCAATACAGTCTTGTGAAAAGGGTCCATTGTTTACAATACAACCGGAGCACATGCAGCTGAGGGGCGGGACCATTAGACGTGCACTAGAGGGCGGGCGGTTTAGCCAATCACAACACACTGGGTCAGCTAACCAATCTGAGCCCATCGCGTATTTCTGAGGGAGGGGCTTCATAAAAGCAGGAAATGATCAGCGTGTTTATAGGAGAAGGGACAGACCGGTGAAGAATAAAGGTAAATTATGTGAAAAATAATGCGGTTTTTTTTTTTTTTACGAAGCATTAACCCATGTTAGACTGCACCCCATAAACACAATCAAGCCTAAAAAAAAAACAATTATTTTCTTGTATTTATTATTATAGTATTGCTTTTACTTGTTTGAAAAATTTAATTTTTTGAAGCAATGTCTGGTGCTATCCTAAAAATGCCCTTGTAAAATGACCTGTGAAATCTTTTAATAAGGTGACAGGAGTCTCATCTGGAAAACAGCAGCATGTAATTGGGTGAAAATCAGCACCTGGGGAATCTAAATGGTCTTTGATTGAAGAATGTCTTATTTGCCAAATTGTGACTGCAGGCTATTTGATTTGGATATCTGGGTCTGACTTCAATGATTTGACCTCTTTTTGTTTATACTAAATGCTCCAAGTATGTGACGTGGATCTCTCACCTGAGTAATTCAGCATTTGATCAGCAAAGATTAACAAAAACTAGCACAGACCCCAGGGAGACAGATCATTATGAGCGCCAGTCTGAAAATGTCACAGTGACTAAAGATCGATTCCATTAAAGATCTGTTCTGTGTGTGTGTGTGGGGGGCACTAAAGAGGCTCAGCACATTGCCATTAAATAGCCATTATAATGTGTCATAAAAGCAAGAATTTACATAAGACAAACATAAGATTAAACTGGCCATCATTGTTCATTTGAACAACCATATTATAA